CTTTTAGACATAAAACAAATAGACCCCCTCTCTCTTTCTGCAAATTTTCAATCCAAACCATACCCCTCACTCGTTCACTCCCACCTCTAAAGCTGTCCTACTTTTAATAATGTCTCAGTCTTTAATCAGAGTAAGGCCCCATGCGTTTCCACTCATTATTTGTGCTTCGTGGCCTGAGGCTGCCTCCATGGGATCACCCAGACCAATTCAGGAAGCCTATAATGGTCCCCTAGTGCCTTCTTCTTTCTGTATGGTATTGCTCAAGTTTCTCAATGTACTGCATCATCTGTCAGTTTTGGCATATAGATCTTGCCTATTATCTCAATGGTTTCTTTAACAAATTGGGCAGGCTTGGCAACTTTTCACCCTTAACCCCTATTTTACAATCTTGGAGAGTTTTTGGCTGCATTTGAAGACCCCCTGTTGCGTGTTATTTTTTGGTTTGTGAATTTATCTCGCATCTTGGTGCAGTGTTTCTCAGAGTGGAGTTGTGGAATGCACATTGTAGATCCTCTGTCAGTGGGATGAGGGGCGAGTGCAGACAGGTTGGGCATACAGCATGTGAATCATCTCCAGTGCACAGGTCAGATTAGACCATCATACCAGAAATAACCTGATCAATCTTTTACGCACCGCTTATTTCTTAATGTTCTGTACTGTTTCTGTAGGCCTTAAGCTTTTAGCATTTCTAACATACTTGACTTCATGAATGTATTGTCAGAGGCAGTTCACATATAGCTTCCTGGACAGTGGAGATTAAGATAAAACTCTGTGCTGTGTGGCTCTGACCAATTTTTGGCTTTACTTGTATTGCCTTGAAATGCAACAGGTTTTTCTACCCATCACAAAGACTTTCAGCTATTATTTGGCAAAAGAAATGACAACTGTGTGCCTTCCACTAGTGTGTAATTAATGGAAAAAATGTCAAAGTTAAAGCATAATACTTGATGGTTACAGCATTGTTTCCTAGATGATTATGCGCATCAAGGTAGATCAACATAAATCTTTTGACACAAGTGACTATACACAGAGTCTCAGTCAGTGCACTAGTTGTGACCTGTTCTTACCCCAGGGGTCCTAAATGCTCCATTACTTTTGTCTTTGTTTATCTAATATGATGATGTTATGGGCCAGATAGGGACAGATGGGGTTTGCAGTAGTCCCTGTTCAGAATTGCAGGTGCTTACCCCCTTCCAAAGCGGAACCCTTTCCCCCGGGGCAAGGTGTCAGTGTGTTTATTTTCCCTTGTGTCATCACCAGGGATCCTCATGTCCTACAAGGAGACAGGTAGAGGCCTTGTTAGTCTAGGAGACATTTGTACACCCCCATGATGGATGGGTGCTGCTGAAACCCAACTCTATGTTGCAGTCGACTGACTGGCAATAGACAATACACAGGGAGAACACCAAAATAAATCTAAGTAATTTATTTGTAAGTTCTATATTGGAATGTAAAAGTACATGTAACACAATATGTTTAGATACATGGTTGGGTGTTTTAAGAGAGAGGTCTACATCAAATGATATGTCAGTAAAAACATGTTGGTTGGAGCAGAGTTTGAAGGAAAGTTTCAAGCTGAATCAACTTAAGGAAAAACTATTGTGATTTTTTTGCCATATCTTTTAAAAGGGTGCTAGGGTATATCCTAGAGGATATAGCACACAAGTTTTGGGATAAACAAGTCACTTACTTAAGTAAGTAAGTTCACGGTGCAAAACTGAAGCAGAGCTGAAGATGTAATATGGCCACAAAAGTGGGGCATTCATTTTTCCATCCTTCTGGTGCTGAAAATGAGATAGGAGCCTATTCTCCGTCTCTATAGGAATAATTTGACAGGGACTTTCCCGTTGTCAGCAATCTTTTCAAGTTTTTCTGTCTGAAAATCTGCAACAGTGTGCAGGATGTACCTCTCTCCATGTGGCTATAATGTTGCCAGCATCAGGGATACAAGATCTAGCCTGAGTGTGTCTGTCTCCACTGGGCTGGCCTCATGCTGGCGGATGTCAAAGCAGAGCCAAAGATAAGCTCCTCAAACGATGCCCTTGTGTTTCCTCGTCTCGGCAGATTGATATGACAGATAGGAGGCTGTCTGTTTACACATAGAGACCAAGCATTGCCTTCAAAATTACCAATGAAAAACTCAGTGTCTTCTGCTAAACTACAGCCTCAGCACCTTTGTTGTATATTGTACTTGCCCCCACCTATGTGCACATCATATGACTCTGTTGTTATTGTAATTATATGTCATTATTCTGACACAGACAGAAAGATAGTTTGCAGTGATGACATAGGGGCAGTGAGTCGAGGCTTGTTGTAACTCGTGAGGTGGAGAAATGCTTGGCTGTAGCGTGTGGGTTTGATGTGCTTAAAAGTGCATTCATAGACTCAACTTTATTTTGTAAGACTAATTGTAGGCAGCATATGTGTCTTATTACAGCTGTCTCTGTAGGCCTGTTGCGATAATTACTAAATTGACTCATTGTTCAATAAATGAATATATGAAAGCTGAAACAATACATTTTTTGGATCAGTATTTATTGTATGTACATTTCCTTTGCACTACTGTTTATTTTTTTTTGCTATTTTTTCACATGATTTGATATAAGTTGTAAAAGTTTAAATTGATAACTTCTATGACTCATTACAGGTGCAAAGAAAGTCTATTCTATTTCTATTTCATTCTATTTATTTATTGCAGCTCATGGTTTTTTAACAATATTGTACAATTAGACATTTTTGTGGCTTGTGATGTAGTTTTAAAATGATTCTTTATTATCTATATTTACTTAAGCAACATATCACACAAATTTTATGTCTAATTTTATGTTAATGCGCTACTCGGGGGCGGCAGTAGCTCAGTTGGTAGAGCATTCGCCCACTGATCTGAAGGTTGGCGGTTTGATTCCAGCTCTCGACATAAAAAAAAAAAATCACAGGTTGAGTGGTCAGATCCACTGACCCACAGGTTGGCTGGTGTGATTCCAGCTCCCACAGATGAATGCTGCCGTTGTGTCCTTGGGCAGACACTTAACCCACCTTGCCCACAGTGTCTGTGTACACTAGTGTATGAATGTGTGTGTGAATGGGTGAGTGGTTCCTTGTTGTAAAAAGCGCTTTGAGTGCCTTGAAGGTGGAAAAGCGCTATAGAAAAATGTGACCATTTACTTGGTGCTATTTTTTTCTGAGTGAGCAAGCCCAGCTCAAATACATGAATTAAACATGGATTGTGCAGTGAATCCAGTTTAACCGAGATTCAGTTATTTCTAATCTTCAGTGATAAACTTGGGTCATTTAGAGGACCACAGCCAATCCTCAAAGCATTCAAATGTGGTGAGGAATTTCGACTTTGGAGGAAGAAATGTGAATATTTTTGGAGTCACGTGGGATCGATTTACAATCGGTTTATTCTTTTTAAAGTGATATTGCCTATTTATAAGCCTTTTTTTTTTTTTATAAGAAAAAAATGAATATTGCCAAGCTCTAATTTTGTAACTATGAACTAATTTTTAAAGAAAATAGTTGGAAAAATGTCACTTAAGTAGAGCTATTATATAGAAAAGTATATGGTTCAAAGAAAGCCTGGGGTGAACTCTGAGGAGCAGTCCAGGGTTACCCACATTATGCTCTTCCGTGACCTTTGACCTCAGGGTGAGAAGTGGGCGTCAGCCAGCAGCTCGGGGAGTTTATTATTTCCTGCCTCTCCTTGGTCTTCACTGCAGATGTAAGGAGTGAGATGAAGGGAGTGACAATTAGAAGAAAGCATCTGTGTAACAAGTTTGACCCTGGATAAAAAAAATATATATATCAAAGAACTAGCACTGTCATGATTACCTATTTTGAAACATGTAATATTGCTACAGAAAATATCAAGATAAAAGATAATAGGAAACTACTTTGCCACTGATAATTCTAAAGCAGGATTATCTCAGTGAACATTTTGTGTACATAAGTCACAACAAATAAATAGCATAACATGACATGAAACAGTAATCATCATCTAAAGCACAAATCTATATCTATCTATAGTAATCGTATTACAAATAATTAACAAAGGTTTTCTAAATGAAAATATTCACACAATAATGAGCCCCCAAATATACTGTTACAGCTTACATTTAGTCAACATAGTAATCAAGACAGGTTGCTTCTAAAATACTGTGAGTGATAATTGTATTAATTATCTAATATTTAATTACCAGTGAATATATCAGTGTTAATCAAAACAGAAAATGTAAATTTAATAAAAGTTTCAGATTAGAGGCTGTCAGAATCCTTTTGAGCTCCACTTATCCCACCCAGACATTACCCTTTTAATTCTGACCCAGCCTGTGGGCCTGGTCAGTCCTGCTGCTGGTGTCTGCCCTGTGCCCGAGCTCCAGTCTGAATATCACAGCTGGACTGCCATTGTCCCTCTGGCCTCAGGCTCAAACCTTGGTAACCAACCAGGAACCTGGGATCAAAGCCGGCCAGGATTACTCTTGGAAAAAGTGGGAGGTGGTGCCGCAGTTGGAGGGGGTCGGCTTGAAAAGGATAGAGGAATGCTCCTAATTACGTGCCCTCCACTCCTTTTTGGGGGCTTCCTTTGGCGTTCCTCTTGTTCACTGTGTGTGTTAGGACTGCACTTCAGGCTACGCTGAACCTATGAGGAAGCAACACAGTGTGACCAGAGAGTGATATTAGAGCAAAGCCACAGTCTCTCACAGCCACTCCATTACACTCAGGGGCAGGTGGGACACAGGGGCAGAGTTCCCGGGACATTCCTCCCTCTGTAGAGACACTCCAGCGGGTGAGAAGAGGCAGGGGAGGGAACAGTGTGGAGATCAAGGAGTGTGTAAAGAGGATGTGTCATGCACATTAAACAGATGGCCTAGAAACTGGCTGAAGTTTTTTTCTACTTTGGTAAAAAAAAAATATATATATAAGTGTTGTTGTTATTTTTATCAGATTTGTTTTTGTGATATTTATATATTTATTTATTTATTTATTTTTATGTTTTGCAGCATTTTCCAATCCAAGCAGGAGGGTGCTGGACAACAGGGCGACTGGCAGGGGTGGAGGTGCATCATGGACAGTGGCCTCAGGGTCCTCCTGTCCACTGTGCTGTGTCTGAGCCAATCCCTGCTCACCAGCTGCTCATGTAAGTCCTCCAGCCACTTACAATGAGTAAACCAAAGCTGTTTTTTACTTTACTTTCTATTTGGTTTTATATTCTATATTATTTTTTATTTTTTGATGTCTGATTAATTTTTTTTGTGCATTTACAGCTCAGTACCCCTTGTTTCTGTATGAGCCCTCCTCTGTGATCCAGGGAGCAGGATCAGTAGTTCATCTGCGTTGCTCAGTATCTCCTCCCTCAGCGGTGGTTTCATGGCATTTTAAAGGACGACCCCTGAACCGGGACATCTTTCCTGGTGTGGAGATCAGTGGAGGCTCTCTCAACATCTCATCCTTAAAACCCAGCCATGTTGGCCACTACTACTGTGTGGCACGCTTAGAAAAGGGGCCGGCCATCGCCAGCAGCCCGGCACACGTGTCTATCGCAGGTACGGATACGGAAAGTTGGTCCTCTGTGTGTACTTACACTCACTTCAAAGCCCTGGTAGAGAAAGAGAGGAAGCGACTTTGCAGAAAGGAAGGCCATTTTGTGAGTGTTAAACAAGAATGCGTCCATAGCTGCTGCTGAGTGGCACAGGGGAAGGAAACTGTTGGAGATTTTGTTGGGCATTTGTCCAGTGTCTCTTGACTAGTATCCTTAATGAGCCTGGCGCTTTCCTGTCTAGTGCACTATGTTCCTGCTGGGAATGGATACTACTTACACACATCACCCTAAAGAACTATCGGGACTGTAGAGCTGTATTGACCACACAACTGATTTACTCAATCCAACAATAAACAAACCCAAATCCAAATCCAAAACAAACATTTACTCAAGTAGCACTTGAGTCAGCACACTGACAGAACAGATTGCAGCACAGTCAGACTGCTGCGCTGTACTGTGATTTTTAATATGTGTACAACTTTGTCTTTCACAGAGATCTCAGAATACGAAGAGAGCAGACGGCGGTCTTTATCAGTACAAGAAGGCAGTACTGTTCTCATAGAGTGCCCTTTACCACATAGTGTCCCTCCAGCATTACCACGACTACGAGTGCGAGGGGAATGGATAGAAGAATCAACAGGTGTGTTTATAATAATAATAATAATAGTTTTATAGTCAGCATCTCAAATCCTTTTACACATTATGTGACTGATTATGATGTGACTGATTATTGTCCTTTCAGGAGACTATTTAGTTCTTCCATCCGGAAATCTTCAAATTATATCAGTATCGACCAAACACCAAGGCATGTACAAATGTGGAGCATACAACCCTGTGACCAGAGAAATTGTTACGCAGACACACGGCACCAAACTGTCAGTCAAAGGTAAGTGTTCATATTTAGTCTTATAGTTGTCATTATTTTTAATTAACTAATTACATTTTTTTATTTGTTTGACAGAAAACCCCACTGACAGCACTCCTGTCCAAATACTTTACCCTTTTGTCCCATTGACCATCTCTGTGCCGCCCTCTCATTCACTAACACTGGAGTGCGTCATTTCTGGGAGTAGTGCACAAACAGCCAAATGGTTTAAAAATGGCAAAGAACTGACCCTAGGATCTTCAGTTCATCTCCTACAACATAATCTTGTGTTTATTTCAACTATGAAAGATGATGCCGGGAGTTATACCTGTGCAGCTGACTCTGGACATAAGCTTGTTATGAGTGTCCCCTACACTGTCAGTGTTTTAGGTATGTATTAATAGTAACTAGGAATTTATAGAAAATATATGAAGAATAAAGAGGTTGGATGTGCATCTAAACATGCTTTTTTTAATCTGGATAATCACACAATTGTTTGAATTCTGTAATCATAGATCTATAGTTGTTTTACTAACCTATTTTATAGACATTTATGTATATTTGTGCATTTCTGTCATCAAATGTAACTATAAATTGGCGTTATTACATGATTTGTATTTGTGTCTTTCCTCAGAGCCTGCATCTATAGTGGAAGGATTGACGAATCAGTTTAGGAGTCCTGGCTCCTCTGTACACTTCAGATGCAAAGGGAGCGGCAACCCCAGCCCAAACATCACCTGGATATTCAACACAGAACCTCTGAAACCATCACAACACTATCAAATTACAAAGGATTCACTCATTATCCCCAACGTGAGACCAGAAGATGAAGGAATGTACCAGTGTGTGTTGGACAATGGGGTTGCCATGGTGCAGTCACATGGGATGCTCTCTGTCAAGTCAGGTAAAGTCCTTGTTCTAGCTTTTCTAGTTTATGGCTGATTCACAATTACTTTAAATGGTCACAAACATGCAAGTACAACCTTAAATAGAACTGAACCCACTTTTTGTTCAAAAATACGTATCCCCTTAGATCACTTTTTTGTTATCAGATTTGTAAGAAAGCTGATGTTACAAAGCACTTTGCTGTTTGTTGTAATGTACAGTGTCTGGGGATGCGTGTACTCAAAGTGTGAATCTAAATGTTTTTGTGCGTGGCGATAGGAGAGGCTTTGCCAAGGCTGTCCTCCTGAGCCTTGAACTGAACTTGAGCGTGAGAGCGAGCTTTGTGCACGCCGTCGGGGATAAGCCCCCGGACGCTGGAATGTAAGGAGTAGCTATGAAGGGTTATGACGAGGACCAGACCACCCAGCTGTCAACATCATACACAAATGGCTTTTATTTATTAACACATCACAGCCCCCTCCACCTCTCCCCCAAAGCCTCCCTAAGCGTTTGCGCCAGGGCCCCATTCCCCGGCTGGCCCCTGTATCTCTGCAATGATGAATGCAGCTACAGGCAGTACATAGGGAGTACAAATCAGGCTTGGGCCAGCTCTGCTCCTCTTCACAGACCAGAAGAAGAATGAGATTTAATATCTACGAGCTGCACCCATGTTTAAAGTACAAAAACAGAAAGTGAGGCTGATAAGAAGGAAATACTAAACAAAAGTAAATTCTGGGGTCAGTTTGGATTCAGGAGTTTGGTACCAGTCTCCAGGCTGTGGTCACCACTTTCGAATCATTGCAATCACAGCATCACAGCACAGCATTTTTTCATCTAAAACATGTTATGTTTGTTTTGTGGGTTGCACTGTTGATCCTGTTTACAGCTTCCATGTTTACTTCCCAGTGGCTACATGTTGCTAAGAAACAGCAAAGATGTTTTTAGTTTTTGAAATATTCACAGTTTATGTACTATATATAATACTATACTTAACATAAATTCTGTGTATGCAATGTGTCATATTATTTTCTCCAAAAGGCAACAATTTACTATTTAAAACATATATATTTGAAATGCAAAAGTCAACAGATTGGATCAGTATCAGTTCTGGCATTTCATCATGATTTATCAACCTATTTACCATTTATATTGGAACAGCAAACTACTGTTGGCAGCTGCATTTATAAAGACAGTAGCTGAGTATTGAAATATAGTCATTTCTTTTTTCGCATTGAGAGTCTGCTGCCCTAATTGAGTCTGTTAACATTATAGTGGTGCAGAGGACGAGTCTCTCTGAGTCAGGTCTGGGAGCATGGGGCAGACAGGCACTGAGCACAGGGCAGAGCTGATGTCGTATTGGGCTCTGTTTCTCTTTGGTATTTTAATGGTTGGAGTGTGGAATGTGTGGCAGCTGGCCGTAGTCCTGGATCAGGTCTAGTGTTACCAGCTCCAGGCCTGTTTGTTTTACAAAGTGAACCAGTGCTGCAAACACCAAAAACAGCCCAAGAGCAGAGGCAGAGCTGTAGAGGACAGAGCTTCTGCAGTGTGTCTGCCTTATCCTCCCTGTTCACTAGTGCTGCTGTCTCGACTGGAGAGGTGGAGCCAGTAGTGAACGGGACCTGCCCCTGTGAGCCGTGCTCCGGGTCCAAATGTCTGTGAAATGTTCCACCCTCAGTCTGCCAAGTAGTGTCGGCCGTAATAACGCTCCAGCCAGTTGGATTTGCCCAGGTGGACTGCTCTGGCTCTGCCCAACATTTAATGAAAAAAACACAAACAAAGGCTGATTATATAGAGCTGTGGAGATCCAGTTTTTATGTTATTTTATGTAGATTAAAAGTCTTGTTCCAAATGTAAAATTTTCCAGTTTCACTTTGAGTTGAACCATACACGACTGCATTCACAATGAAATTAATTCACTTAATGTAATGCCCAGAATAGGGAAGTGCTGAATTATCTGTTTTAATGTTTTGCAAAGTAAAACAGAAAATATAGTGTCGTAAGTCGTAATAATGTGTCATCAGCTGGCATGGATGTCTTTGGACATGATATAGGCTCCCTCTAGTCATGGGATTTACAATGATGAAAAATAAGCACCATGTATTTTGTAGAAATACTACTACTCCTACGACTACGACTACGACTACGACTACTACTACTACTACTAATAATAATACTACTACCACTACTACTACTACTACTACTACTACTAATAATAATAATAATAATAATGATAATGATAATAATAATAATAATAATAATATAATTATGAAACAGCTTCAAAAGTCACCTTTAAACAAAAATCAATCAGTGTTTGACCCTGTCCAAATTATTCGATTACTTTTAGGTGATTTTAAGATTTCAGAATCAGCTGTTAGTTTGAAAGCTGTTTGAGAACCTGCCCTAGCCCCTGGTTGATGTTATTTGGCAAAAAACTGATGAACACCACATGGTTTTATTTTTGCAGTATTTCAAGCTATTGGAAACTATTGTTAAATATGTTAATAATGGTTCATATTTTTCTCTTTTGTACAGACTCCTGGCTGTCCTCCACAGTCACTACCATCCTCGAGGCCTCACCTACAGGACATCCCATGCAGAGTGATGAGGGTTTGGAGCACTTCTTCACTGAGGAGGACTCTGTGCATCTGCCTGCTGACAGGAGCAATGACCGCCCCACTCCAGAGGCCCCCATCATCATCAGCCCCCCTCAAACCCACAAACCTGATGTGTACGACCTGGAGTGGAGGGCTGGACGTGATGGAGGCAGCCCCATCAATGCATACTTTGTGAAATACAGAAAGGTAACATCACATAGGTCAGTTAAGTGCAATAGCCTTAAAAGAGTTTTGTTATGTTATTTGTTAATTTTGTATTGAATAATAATATAGTTGTTGCAATTCTAAAAAAAACTTAATTTCAATACTAAGGGAAAGGCTCAGTAGTCAATACCTTTTCAATACTACAATGATAGTATTAAAAAGGGCTATTCTTTTAGACAATAGAATTTTTTCAATATTGATACTTCTAATTCGTATTTTGTTCAGTGCAGATTTTTGTATTAACTAGTGTCTAGGTTTAGTTTGTTTTTGCAACCCTTCTATAGTGACTCAATTTTATGTGTTACTGTAGTTTTCCAGTAAAATAAAATTGTCACCCTGTTTTTCAAAAGCATATTGGTGTGACTTCATGTTCAGCCGTTTCCTGGTTAGAGCTTAGTTTCTTTCATGAGCTTGCTATAACTATAAAAAATGTTCCAATACCAGCAAAGATTCAATTGGCAGCATTAAGTGTACAGTGGAAATTGTGACTGGAATCTCCCAGGCATTGTTTCATAAGCCCTTGCCTATCCTTACCGAGAATACCTAACCCATTTGAATGTGTTATTCTTAATACCATGTTGTGTCTTGTCTTGACATTGGTTTGTGTGTGGTTGTTTATCTGTGTGTAGGTTGATGAAATGGGGATTGTTGTGGGGAGCTGGCTTACGATCCGTGTCCCGGGCTCTGAGAAAACCTTGAGGCTGTCCGAGCTGGAGCCATCTAGTCTCTATGAGGTCCTGATGGTGGCGCGCAGTTCAGCTGGAGAGGGACAACCCGCCATGCTCACCTTCCGCACTGGCAAGGGTCAGTGTCTAAACATAAAAATATACTCAGACTAAGACTTAGACAAACTTAATTGATCTGCAAGGGAAATTATTTGGATACAGTAGCTAAAATATAAATGGTAATAATACATTCAAAATCTGTAGCAAAAATAGCGAGAGACTTGTGTCAAATAAGGCATAATTATATAAATGTATATATACAAATAAATATAAAATATAGAAATACAAATATATCTCAGCTATATTCAAGAGGTCGTAACTACATAATGTGTCACAATCAAATGAAAATCTCAATTTTACTTGGCGCATTTATCATATCACAAAGGCTGCAGTTATTTAGATAGCAAAACGTACTCTGCAAAAAACAAAATATCTTGTCTTTGTATAGAAAAATGTTGTTGTAGATTAAACGTCTACAAACATAATATGAAATTCTTGGGATTCTTGTATTCGTTAATCAGTTCATATTTTAATTTAACCTACCCTACCCTTCGACAGTCCATTTAGTAGGTATTTAACATTTCATGCCAAGACTGTCAAAGTAACCGTGAAAACAACCAGAGAGACCCACTGTTTTCAGATTTAAACAAAAATGTAATATCATGTTATGAATTTTATTTTGAAATCCCATCCCAACCCCGCTTTGGGAATTCAGACGCTAGAAGTTTGAGATATAAAAGATGCCACAATGAAATAACTCATTTATTCTTTGCATGAACAAACAGTGATCAAATTTTTAAAAGAATCGTTTGGCCAAATCATTTGCATAGTTATTTATTTTAAGACAGATACAAATGAGAGTTAAGTGTTTCTAGGCATATTTATGTAAATGGTCAGTTTGTGGTCTAAACATAAACTTGCTCAACAAAGTAGTACTCTCGGGTTTCGTTTTCTTTGTGAAACAAATAAAAATAAAATGTTGCAACCGCAAGTGTCCCTAAAGCACACAATAATTCTCCACCACACAAGAGCTGAAAAAGTCACTGGTCACAAATATAAAATGCCACAAACCACAAATTTGACTGTAGCTTCAGGGTTGTTCTCAGAAGTCTGCAAACAGATCTGTAACTTCTAAACACTGACTAAAGGAAAGAGTGAGGTACATCTTAACATTAGTCAGAATATCTGCTCTTGTTCAATACTGCTTAAAAATTGCTTGAGTGATAATTAAGTACTGAGCATTAAGTCAAAGTAACTAAGTAAACTTTAATGTGTTCAAAATTGAAAAGTATTGCACTCTAACTTGGATATTATTACTTAGTAGTACTTAGTTGGTTTACATTTATGGAGTACTGGTGGGAGAGGTATGTGTATTACTAATGCAAGTTTTCCTTTTGTATTTACTTACTTTTACTTGGCAGAAGATTAAATAACTAGATTATTGGAAGAAGACTCCAAGTATTAATACTGTCATACATATATCTTATATCCATGTCAATTCCAACATCTTTTATTTGGAACTTTTTAATTTTATTTTAGAAAAAAGCACCTCCTCCAACAAGAATCCCTCCAAGCCTCCGGTTGTGTCACTGCCCCCCAAAGCTCCAGAGGACAAAATACCCAACACACATTTTGGGGTGGTCATACATGACAGAGGTAGGCTATCAGCATGTTTTACTGTGAAAAGTATTATATTCAGTAGTCTATTGTCATTTATTTGATTTGATATTTGATTTGATTTGTGTATAGGTTACTGGTGATATATAGAAATATAGATGATAATAATTAGGTCTGTCACAATAAAAAAACATTTTAAGTTCGATATATTGCTGAAGAGAATATAGCTGATAAATGATAATATTGCAACCAAACCATAAAACAGAATGATCCCCAAAAACGTATTCTAAACCAGCAATATTGTTAAAAAAATTAGAAGACATAAATAAACTGAGAATAAATTAAATAAACTGCTGAATTCAACACATAAATTAATAACATTTGCAGTAGTGGGGGCTATTTTGTTTATATATTATGGCTGCACAATATAATAATATAACACTCCATTTACAGTGACTGATGCTTGGCATTGTAAATGTGTTCATTTTAAACCAAAACAGCCCATGTAAACTGCAGTTTTATGAATACCCAGATGGTATATTTGACATTTTAATTTGTGTAAAAAAAATTAAAAAATTCTTTCAGTATGTTGTAATGCAGATGTAAATGTGGATCAAATCCATCATACATGTTTGCCGTCATTATAAGCAGCCATACTCTCCTTTTTGCACCTTTTTTACTAACCCATTTTCTCTCTAACTTTCTTCTGCCATCTCTAACTATGTGACAAAGGGCACATTCAGTAAGTATACATTTCTCTATGGCATGTAGCTTCCTTTTTTCCTCTTATCTAATTTATTGCCAAGATTGAATATGATTGTTGTGGTTATCAATGAGGATTTGCTACTTACAATGAATAAAACAACGTTATTTCTCTTCTTTTTAGTACCCGAAGCTCCCGATAGACCAACCATCTCCATGGCGACAGAAAGTTCAGTTTACGTCACGTGGATTCCCAGAGCAAATGGAGGTTCTCCCATCACAGCGTTTCGGGTGGAGTACAAACGTGGGCGCAGTGCAGAGTGGGTCATAGCAGCAGACAACATCTCCCCTCTAAAACTGTCTGTGGAAGTGCGCAACCTGGAGCCTGGTAAGCGTTCATAGATCTGAAAACTTTATAGTGCAATAAAGTAGGACTGACAAAGTAATGGTGTAAATGTAAAATAAAAACAGAGGTCTGAAATATAGTGTGACTATAGACCATTTATTTCTAATTCATCAAACTTTATTACGCACATACTATATTGATAATAGGCCGGTCACAATAACACATTTTGAAGTGAAATATGTTGCTGGATTAAAAATAGATGTTAATACTGAAACAAATTTATGCTACTGACACAGTGATCCAAGAGCAGATTTAAACCACAAAACTACTGTACTACTACTACTAAAAAACATGAGCTGCAATAAATAAAAAGCAGAATGCCACACTTCAATGAGTTTGTACATATTCGTAGAAGTTCCCAAATCATATTACCAAAAAATAACTAAAAATAGTGCAAAGAAAGGTACGTTAAATTTTGACCACAAAAAATATTGTTTCATCTGTACAAATAATTTGTAATTATCATGACAGGCCTAATTGATAATTATGAATAGCCTACAAGTGAAATTGGAAAAACTGGACTATTGGACTATTGAGTGTTTACTATTTTGTTAAAATATAAATATAAATTTAAAAAAAATTTCAGGTTCAACATACAGATTTCGTGTGGTGGCCATGAACATGTATGGGGAGAGTCCACACAGCATACCATCAAAGCCCTACCAGGTCCCTCAGGCCAGTCCCAGGATGTCCGACCGGCCTGTCGTGGGACCCCACATCTCCTCCACTGATGCCATCAGTGACACTCAGATCATGCTGCGCTGGACTGTAAGTACAAGTCTTTTTTTGCTTTGTAGATAAATAAACTAAAATGTATTATTATATATAATATGATATATATATATATATATAATATATATATATATATATATATATATATATATATATATATATATATATATATATATATATATATATATACATATAAAGGATAAATATATACATATATACATATAAAGGATAAATGTCTCAAATTACATAAATTACAAATCAGATAGTTTTAATTGAGTTGAGTGAAATAGATATAGTAACAAAACAAAAACTTTACAGTAACAGTGAAACCTATACATTATGTAACAGAAACATCTGAATACAGAAAATGTATATTATTCATTTAATTCTAAAAGTTACAATAAACTCTCAGGAAGGTTAATGAATGAATTATAAGATCTCTTGCATCATACGACAATTTAGTACCATTATATCTTAAGGACCATTTTAGTCCCTTTATTCGTACAAATGCGTGTACACTAGAGTTATTTTTCACTACCTCTAGGTCGCTGGACCCAATCAGACTTCTAACAAGCGGCTACAGTGATTACAGATCTGCCTAGGCTGAGATTAAGGGCCCTTGTCATCTACATTTTATTCTGAACTCATCAAAGCTTTTTTTCCTCTTCTGAGCCATTTGTGCAGATTGTTCCCCACATTAACTTTAGCTCCGACAGCCCCATTTATTTTTGAGGTCCAGACAGACAGACAGTGCAATCACAATTATACTCGCCGTCCAGTACATCTGCTGATAACAAGGCCACCATTAGTAACAGGAAAAGCTGCTCCCTTAATAATAATTGCCCGCCAGATTGGAGTAATCTAACGTAATCTTTTTCCTTTCCCATTGCAGTATAGCCCTTCAAGCAACAACAACACTCCAATACAAGGCTTCTACATTTACTACAGGCCCACAGACAGTGACAATGACAGCGACTACAAAAAAGACATTGTGGAGGGTAAGTCCAGTGACCCGAGCACTGTCAAAGGAACAGAGTGACAATATTGGTAAAAGTGTTGATTGACTATAATAATTAAATTAAATAATGTCTGTGTTGTCTTGTAATTCTAAAGTATGTTTTTCAAACTGTAGAATGTATGTATTATTCTTCATTATAACGTAACCCTGACATTTCTTCTTTAAAACACTGACCAGCTAGAAGTAGTACTAGTAGTCGTAGTAGTGTAGTAGTATTTGTAGTATCCTTTCCCCTATGTACTGTGCAGATAAACAGGGAGTAATGGATACTGTGGTGTGGTGCAGTTTTACCGTTTGATTTATACTTGCTGCTCCCCGAAAGCACACAGGCTGAAATCTGTTTTTAATAAATGGTCGCCAGCTAATGGGTCAGGCCTGAAATCTGAGAGCAGCCACAGGAGCGCAGCTCCGGTTGCTGTGAAGAATGCTAACAGTTAGGCCTGGTACAAGTTAGGACATCCTATGTTCAATCTAAAGCATACAATATTGTTCACTTTTTGTGCATAATTTTATTCAGTAGTTACACATGTCAAGGTTGCTATTGTTATTATAAATTAGAGTACTATTTTTAGGTAAGAGGCTCACAAGGCAGTAAACCTTTTGTGCCAGTCCTAAACCTGTATAAATGAACAGGGTTGCATGGTTATATGGACACTGTATTTAAATTTTGGAATGGCTTAATAGTTACACGAGTTTCTTGTGATTTATTGAAGTCACATTCATCAGCACATACGGAGAACAGCGTCTTATTTCAGCCCCATTTGCTGGAAACGTTGCATTTCCATCTTGTAGTCTGGTCCATGAGTCCAAAGTTAAGTTGTGTGTAGTATATGTGGAGTGGGAACACTGGAGACAAGCCAGAACAAACATGAAGCTGCCATATATGGGGCTTGTCTAAAGCAAAGCAACTGTCTGAGGGCTAGAGCTGACAGAGGGGAGGGGGGTGAGTGATAGAGAGAGGATGAAAGAACATGACCTCAGAGAGAGGGAGAGAGAGAGAGGGTGCCCTGATTGTGAGTAAACACACAGCAACTACAGCAGGAAGTCCTTACTCACCTCTGTCCCTTTTCCCTCAGGTGTAAAGCACTGGCACATGATTGGACACCTGCAGCCCGAGACCTCCTACGATATCAAGATGCAGTGCTTTAATGACGGGGGTGAGAGCGAATACAGCAACGTAATGATCTGTGAGACTAAAGGTAGGACCACAAAGTCTAGTCATTGACTCATTGTCTCCTCACTTCCTCTTTATCAGGAGTCCAGGCTTGTTTCTAGTAATGCTATAACTTAAATAATAGCTCTGACCACTATAATTACATAACACAATAGTAGTGTATTTTATGACACCATGAAATGCTTCCTTTGTATGCTTTGGGCCTTTGTTACTTGGTTGCCTTGAGTGGCTAAGCACTAATCTTTGTGTCCTTTTCTTCAACAGCACGCCAGGCACCAGGCTCACCCAGCCAGCACCCCATCACTCCCCCGGGACCCCACCCTCAGGAGCCTCCCACTCCTCCAGGGGGGCTGCTCTACCTGATCGTGGGCTGTGTTCTGGGGGTCATGGTCCTCATTCTTTTAGCATTCATTGCTATGTGTTTGTGGAGGAATCGGCAGCAGAACAACATGCACAGTGAGTAACACTCCCTCTTGACTGACTCTTGTGCTGAGTCAGTCTTTGACAGACAGTAGTTTACCACAAATGTGTGTTTTGTCTTTTTTACATGTTGGCATCCCTTCTCTCTCATCAGAGTATCCTCCGGGCTATGCTGGCTATCAGCCAGCAGAGATGAATGGCTATGTTCTTGAGTACACCTCAGTGGCTGTAAACAACCACATCAATGGAGGCGTGCATGAGAGCTATGGACACAGTGGCCAGATGTTGTCCCATGGGTGCCATCACCTCCACCACAAACTCCCCAACGGCCTGTCTCTAATGAACGGGACGGGAGGTCTGTTCTCACCAGGGCACGGCCACGATGGGACCCTGCCCCACAGCACTCAGGACTGTGAGCATGCACACCCCTACCATCACCATAATGTGAGTCACCTACTCTACTGTATGTTTGGAAAGAGTTTTTGAATACAGCTAAACTCACACTGTTTATTCTCAGGGTGGTGGGATGTACACAGCACTTCCACAGACAGAGTCATCTGATTGTATGAGCTGTCAAAATCTCTGCAACAACAACAGGTAAGAAAAAAGACACACGGTTTACACACAGTATTCCAGTAAGGCTGTAGAGATATTATGAATGACAAAACATTAATCTCTTCAGTCTGATTAATGACCACATACACACTTGCCCTTTTCCCATACTACTTGATCTGTTTATGTACTTAAGAGTCTTCAGCATCACAGTTTACTCTGTGTGCACCCAGCCACAGACCTAATGAGCCCTCTGTTTATTTACCTCTGCTGCTGGGAAAGAGGGGCGTGGCCTCAATCCAATCATAAACCAATATAGAGGAAAGTTGAGTTCAGTTCACCACATTGGCGCACTGACGAACAGGTTTTAAAAGGGACAGGTTTCTAATGCCCACTTTAGATGGAAAATTGTCTTTTTTTGTATACTGAACAACAAACTGCAAAAATAGGTTTAGTCTTCGTGAGGCACCTCAGGATTAACTGTGTTCTCTGTGTTTTGAAGCAGATGTCACAACAAAACCAATGGCACTTTCTCCAGTGGCACTCTGCCTTTAATGCACCATGTGGCGGGCTGCCAGCAGGACGGCCTGGAGATGGTGCCTCTGGGGCAGGTGTCCCAGCACTGCTATGGCCCTGAGCACCACTCTCACACTGGAGACCCTGAAACCAATGGCCCATACCACCCACAAGAGGCACGGAGGTCACCATCACAGCACTCCTGTTGTCTAGGCGACAGCACTGACAACTCAGATAGAACTGGTGAGACATGCTGCAAATACTTTCTGCTAGTGTTACATACAACTAACATATAGTAGATGTTGCTTATTTAAACTCAATGTTTTAGTAACTTCTCTTTAGTTACCACGACTGTTTAGCTCCCAGCTACCTTTCAAACTTTAGTACTGTATATATTTTTTGGAATTGTTAATGTGAAAAATAAATGGTAATTTCACTTCCGAAACCATGTACTTAACTTCATTCAAAAGTTTTTGTTTTGTTTATTTCTTTACTCCCATATTCAATAATAACAAAAATAAAAATGTGCATTTATAAATAATAATGTGAAATACACACACTTTGTCCAAAGGTATATCATATGAAATGATCTAAACTATGATGGTTTTTTGTAGGGGACGAGGAGCCGGAGTGTATGGATGAGGAGGGGACAGTGGTGTGCTGGGAGGCCCTCACGCTGACAGACTTGGACTGTGATGAGAAGCCAAGCTGGATCTCCAGCAGCAGCCTAGGCGGAGAACTGATCCAGGCCGGGCCACAGGAGGTCTAAACTGTGGCTTTCTACATGCACAGCCTATTGTCGTGTGGGCCATATCTGTGCATTGGGACACACTATGGACCCTGGCTCAAAACATGATGTACGAACAATCGGACGCACCGCATGTTTGAACCACATGGATCTGTTGAGCGTTAAGTTGGATTAAACTTATCAGAGAAGACATGGCTTTAAAGACTTAAGCAGGACTCAATGGACACAAGTGAAAAGAGTGTGTTGCTGAAATCCCACTGGAGGAAGGACTGATGAAACAAACTTTTTAGATGCCTTATTTATTTTTGTAGTAGTAAAATATTATTTCATATGAATGTATCTGTTTAAAGAAAAAAGGTTGTCTTTTATATTATTTATGCTTTTGTCGGATGAGAAATACTTTTTATTTTTTGTTCATCTTTGTGTTCTGCTTAAACACAGAGATCTGCAAGTGTCTCTGTAAAGTTTTGTAATAATATAAAGAGAAGATATGGAAGAGTAAACACACATTTCTCTGTGTTCTGTCCCTTCTTGATGAATGATTTACTAGAGTAGGTTTCCTGGCCCGTTCATATTTGCGGTTGAGCTTTGAAGTGGCTCTGATGGGCTGTTCCACTGCAGTGACCCCTGAAACGGCTGAAACACTCCCTTCACTGTTCACTTAAGGCCTTGCTCTCTGCTTCACTGAAGACTTGATAGCTCATTACTTTATGTAAAATGCTCTGGTGCTTTGAGTGCACTGTGTTGACCCACTGGCCCCAATCTGTAGAAGACGTTGAGCAGAGTAAGCAGAGGGTGCAGCCCAGAACAACATGTAGGATTTCCCCTAGATGTAATCTTACACAATGGATTTAGTGTGACAATTGGCCTATCATTCTTCATTTGTGCCAATGATATTAACCCCATGAATTTCCTATTAACTAGGTAAAATAGTCGGTCTTTATTTATAGTGAAACTATTTTACTCTTGGCTTATCAATTTTTTTGCCATGTTAGATTTACCTGAGGTTTGTCTTTATTTATATCAATCTCCTGATATAAAATTTTGGGACAACTCTGCTTTCTGTTTTTACCAGTTTTCAAACAATTCCTTTGCAGAAATAGGTTTGCACGGTATTGTTGTAGCTGCGTTATTTTATTTACACCAACATCTTTTTCAAATGGGCCACACTTCCTGCTATCCAACTGTATTCTTTCTCTTCTTGTGGCTCATTTGCCCGGGTTGTGCCCAGTCTCGTCTCCAGTGGATATTCCTGGCGCCCACAGCCACTCGGCTCTTGCTCAGGCGTGGCACTGCTCCTTCCGCCTGATATTTTTAGTCTATGTTGTGCAGCGGAGCCTGTCAAATATTTATCCAGTTGACTTGAATTTAACTTTTTCCCATTAACCAACTTCTGCAGACATGGGTATATGTGTTAAATAAATCTATGCCCTATAGAGTATAATTTTACTTTTTAACACTTCTCTTCAGCTTGTTCCATCCTGTAGTGTAGCTACAGCAAACCCAAAGTTTGGTTAGGTTTTCCGGTAGAAGTTCTCACGCTACTTTACAGGCTCAAAAAGTACACCATATTTCTAGTAGTTACTTTTTCAAGATGCACTATGCAACATAACAGAGTACGATCTGAAAAATACAAAACATACTACTCCTTACATCTATCATGACTTTCTTTTGCTGTTTGGATAAATAGATTGGAGACAATGGGAAGGAAGTGGATGTGGAAATGAAAGAGATTGGTGTGGGGGTGCGAGGGGGTACGCTGACAGATGCTGGCCCGCCTGATGAGGACCAGATAAGGCCAGGGTTGTCTCCAAATGAGCCTGTTCTCCATATCCCACGCCTGTCAGTCCACACCCTCCTTCAGTCGGCCGGGACCCTGTGCCCACGCGGCTACTCCCCCTAATTAAGGAGAACCACGAGGGACAAAAAACCTCATTGTCTTCCCAGGAATTTGTGCCCCTTGCAGCAGAGCCGACCTGTTAACGCCAGGCTCTCTCCCCTCCCACCATTCTTCTTCCTCAGTTCAAACTCAATGAGGATGCAAGTCCTTATGAATCAGCCTGTGTGTTGCGAGCTGGCCTTGTTCAGCTCTTGAGTCTATTCTACTATTTTGGAGATGTCACAAAACCGCAAGGGGGGCATGTTGGATTTGGAATGGCTCCAGTGATAAAGCTCTGGAGATGTTGAGGTCATGTGGTGTCAAATACTAAACAAATATACAAGCCTTTACAGGAGAAAGGATGACTGTAGATTAAAAATTTGATTTGTACTCTGTCTGACCAACTGGAGACATGGTCAAGAAATTATGTTTTATTTATATAATTTATTGAAAAATCTTTAATAGAGGTGAATTCAGTAATAAGGTTTAGAGGTGCTGTTTTGCATTTTTAATTGTCCATCACGTTTTTCCAATTCCATTAAGGCAGAAATTAATGTGGATAATAAAAACAAAACTTTATACTTTTGCTGTTTCTTCATATCCTTTATCTATTTATAATATACTCCAGTACACAAATTAAACATGAAATCTGAGTAGATAATACTAGACAGAGTAATGTGGTTTTGCTTCATAGTTCTAATACACTCCTATTTAAAATTTACGAAAACAAAAATGACACATCATTTTAACATACTATAAAATAAGAATATATTTGAACACATAACATTTCAGTGCATTATGTGGTCTCATCCACTACAGTGAGCTTGGTGAAATAGAAGGTGGCTCTAATTCCCTGCTCTTCATCATAAAGAGCCTGACAGGTGAACATACCCTGTGCTTCGGCCTGTACGTCTTTGATCTGCAGAGATGACGTGTCTTCGGGGATGCTCAGCTGTCCCAGGTCACTGGAAGTGGGTTGCACTTTGGGCCCGTGTCCATAGTTAAAGGCCACTGCCACGTTGTTTTCGGTGCCTGGTTTGGTGAAGCCCCAGATGAAGATGTGAGGAGGAGGAGAGCCACAGAGTAAAGTGATAAAACCTCCTACAGCCACTGTTAGGTTAGAGCGGATGTACTTCACCTCCTCAGGATCGAACAGCTCCATGCCTGCAATACAACACAAAGGCTATTGTAAAAACTACTGAAAGCCTGATTGATTAAATCAAATATAAAGGATTTATGAAGCCTATCGTAGGTGAAAAGTTACTGTACATTTCCAGGAATATAATTTACAATTTTGCTTTCAGGGGCAATGATACTAGCAGCAAAGTCATTCAGCTTTCAGGAGTTAAAATAAAACCTTCTTGTGTAGTGCATACTTCCCTCTTAACTGCAGAGATGTATTCCAGAAACTTCTTTAACGAAAGACAGGACAATATTGAGTTATGGTAAAAAATATTAAGTGCTTTTTTGTCATTATAGGTTATATATATATATAAAATAAAACAAACAAACATACATGGGCAGCAGGTTATGGGTATGTACCACTTTGGTCACTCCTGATCCATATGTTTTCAGTGGTAGAAAAACCAGAAGAAACTAAAGAAACTGCAAACACTGGGATATCCCAATAGGACCTTGCTGCTGTGAGTTGAGAGCACTAACCACTACACCACTGTGGTGTGCTATGCTAACTTGATGTTTTAAAAGTTGAAATGTTCTATAGCAACTGGACCCCCCAGAAGTTTGGGAATCAGCTCCTGGAGATGAGCAACACATCATTCTGAACTCACACTGTTTATTTGCCTCTGGTGTTTTTACAAACTTGATTTTATGGCTGTGTCTTTGGCTACACTCAGCATTTTGACAAAATAATGACAGCCGTTAATGATGAGGAGGAAGTGCACTGGTCTCAGCTTGTCTGCTCCTTGTTAGCTGCTATTGTTACAGACATCAGAAAAGCAATGACAAGTTTACCTTGGAGAGGGAGAGCCACTGTTGAGAAGATGAAGAGAAAATGTAAAATCATGGTTGATCCTCTTTTTAGTCCCATAACCAAGTCCGACCCCCAGTTCCTTGTACCATCCACAGCAATGCGTCAGAATGTGTGACAGACAAGATAAACTCCTCCAAACTACAGAACTCGCATTGAATTATTCAGGAGAGTTTCCAGCTCACCAGTGTGTGCATTTGGCCTGTGTGGCTGAGGGCTCAGAGTGTAGGGTGTCACCATGACTCCATTGCCTCATGTATTATTGAATACACTGGCAGAATAGACTTATTAGAATGAGATTAAGGTATCGTGTATTGAGTTAAAACAAGGTATTGTAGACTGTAGAATCTAGAGACCTGCCGCAAATGGAGATCCAAATAAATAATACTGAATCCAAACTGGCATATCAGAGTAAATCTAGTATAAAGATGCTTAGTAAATTAGTGAAGCCAAGGCAGATAAGTAACAAAGCACAAATGGAAGGATAGAAGAAAAAGCAGTTTGCACAATATAGAGGCAGCCCATAAACCTGCAGTGACTTGAGGCAACTCCCGTGTAGAGGGAACGTTGTAATTAGTTTAGGCATCATTTTTTGTGACAAGATCCTCACTATATTTAGCTGTTGTTGGAGAACAGACACATGTGATAAACATCCAATATAAAACAACATGGGTCCCAAGTACTTTAAAGATGTGGCTGAGTTCAAAGTCACAGAAGAACAGACAAAGATGATAGAGGAGTTGCGTAATGCTACACTTTATAGAAATTAGCCCCTGGCTTTTTGTCAAGTCCAGCCTGATTCACCTGCACAAGTTCAGCAACACTAAGAGATCTGGCACAAACAAGACTTGGAGCGTCTTCAGAAAACATTTGTGCAAGAGGCAAAAGTCAAAAATGCCTTTGGTGCTACAGCTGGGATGCTTAGTCAGGAGGAATTCTGCCATTCAGGAAATTTACTATTCCCAGATGGCTAACATCGATCATTAATATGAATATGAACTGAAGCATATTTGATATTCAACGATTATTTTCCGAATGTGTATAAACTCGTAAGGTTGTGTGATGTTTAAACTAAGGGCAGTCATATGATGCTTACTGAATCTCCCAGTTAGGTTTGCTGAATAGGAATATGTGTTTGTTTTAAATATGTTAATTCAACACAAATTCTTATGGCTAAAAAAATATTTTAGTCACCCGGTGGAGCATTCCAAGCAAAGTAATAACATTTTCAGGGAGACAAGCAGGTATAGCAAATCCTCCACCAGAAATGTCACGTAGAGCAGCTTTAATGAGTAGATATTACTGTACA